TTCCATTGCTCCTCAAACTCATTTCGATCGATGCAATGATTAAGACACTTAACAAGATCCTTATGAAACTCGGCATAATTTTTTATAATTATACCAAATAAGAATGCTGATTTCTATTTTTTTTACATTTTAAATTACATATACAATTTGAATATTGATTACATTTATCACAATATTGTGAATATTTGTTAATTAAATCTTGTCTTTTAAGAATATTTCAATGTTTTAAAATTAAAAAAAGTTTATAATAAAAACTATTTAAAATACTATTTTTTAAATCTAATTTATAATAATTAGAAATATTAATTTTTTTGTTATTAATATTTTTTTATCATTATAATTATAAATATAAATTTTATTCTTATAAATATCTGTATATAAATATTCAATATATTTAATTGAAATATCAATATTAAAGTGTTCTTTTGCAAATCAAATTAAAGCTATTTTATCTGATTCATTTTTTAAAGGATAACCATGAACTATATCCCATTCAATTTTATAAATTCTGTTATATAAAATTATATTTCTTTCATCATAAAAAAATAAATAAATTCGATATTCTTTTTTTTCAAACTCAAAAATATGATCAAAAACTGCTGGTAAATAATGATAAGTAAAACATTCAACTTTTTTTTCAATTTCAAAATTATTATTTGAAAATTCTGTTAAATCAATTTCAATCAAATTATCAATATTAATATTATTATTGTAAATATAACAAACATTACCTAACTCATCAATAAATAATTGAATAATTAATCCTGGAATAATATTAATATTAAATTGCTCTTTTGTAAAACGAATCAAAGCTACTATATCTAATTCTTCTTTTAAAGGATAACCATGAACAGTATCCCATATATCACCTTGATTTTGTAAAATTATCTTATTATTTTCTTCATTATAAAAAAATAAATAAATTTGATAATCTTTTTTAAAATCTCTATTTTTATATGTTGAAGTATCTTTAAATTGATATTGTGAAGTATCTTTTTTTATTTCTTCTTTGTTAATAATTTCTGAATATTATAAATTACCCATTTTATATTTACGTAATTAAATTTCTAATTAGTATTAAATAAAATTAATACCAATTAGAATAAATATATATAATATAAAATACAAAATATATAATTTAAAAAATATAAATTCATTTAATTATTTAATAATGTGGTCTTTTGTTATTTTGATATTCATTATTATCATCATTATTATAATTACGTTTTCTATGTTTTTCAGTATTATATTTTCTAATATTATATGCTTTAAAATTCATTTTGTCTTTTGTATATTTAAAATTTAATTTAATTTTACCAAATTTTTCATCAATTTTTTTTATATCATTTTCTTCAAAAAATAATGTAATAATATTATATTCATTTTCTTGAATATAATTTAATAATTCAATTATATTATAATATTTTTCTTTTTCTTCATCAGTAAATTTTTCTAATGCTTTAACCTCAATTAATTTACGAAATTGCCAAAAATTTAATTTTAAAATATTATCAAGTGATTTTGTATTTATAGATAAAATATCATTATTTAAATTAAAATTTATATCAGATATAGATTTTGTTGATTTATTAATTTCTTTTCTTTCATTTTCAAATCATGTTCTTGTATTAGTATTAGAATTTTCACTTTTAACTGAACTCATTTTGAATTATATTTAATTTTCATTTAGTATTATATTATATTAATAATACCAAATGAAAATATTATAATTTTATTTTATTAAATATATAAAATATATTACATATATAATATTATTATAATTATATTTATGAAATATTAATCAATTTCTTCATCAATTTTTTCTAATAATATTTTATTAATGAATTTATTTTTATTATTGAAATTATATTTATCAAAAAAAATAATTTTTTTATCAATATATTTTGGATTAATTTCATTATTAATTGAATTCATTTTAAATTATAATTATATAATTAAATTCTTATTTAGTATTATAATATTTAATAATACCAAATAAGAAGTTAATTATAATTTATTTAAATAAAAAAATTAATTAATATTTAAATTAAAATAAAAAATAAAATATAATAATATTATTATAATTACTAAAATACTTTCAATATGTTCAAATATTGGGATGTGCTAAAGCATTGTACCCATGTGACCTGACACGGGATAATGTGGTTGGTATTCTGATCTGCTGCTATAGTCAGAGATCAATTTTCCAAGTGTGTAATATATGACATATATGATTCAATATCAAAACAACCTTTTTTACACACACTCGTGCGTACCTACAAAATT